ACTTTTAAGTATATAAGTAGATCATCTCAGCAGCAACTTAATCCTTTTGATAGGGCCTGCCGTAGATGGGTATCTTCTGCAAATCACTGAAGACAGCATACGCCAGTATGAACCGTTATCTACACAGATGTGGCCCTCTTCGGCGCCATTGCAGCAAAACCTTTAGTGATTCCTAACTGTGAGCCTGATGCAATTGAACGACAGTCATTATCGCATTTTTCGAAGGATATTGCACTTTTAAGAGACATTTGTTGCATATCAAAGTACGGTATCGGTAAAAAGTGAGCGTACCTGTTCCAGAACAAGGTGAACCGTTTTGGAGCCGAAGTTCATCACTACCTCACCAGCGTATTCTTCTCCAGCACCACGATAGAGATTTTTCTGGAGGTGGAAAAGCGAAAAGAAGGAGGTTTGCATCACGGTGTCGACGGACATTCAAAGAAATAAATAACTTTGCAACCAAGTTAATTTGAGACTTCTAGGTATGCAAATGGAAAGAAATTCACAAATACTGACGGTGAGAGGTAGGCTATCGAAATCACAATCTCACCTGAACAGCCTTTAGCTCAGAAAAGGCGAACGTCATGAGGATGACACGTCGTGATGGATGCAGGAGGCGGATGGATGTTCGACAAATTGCCACCAGTACGGGAATATTTGTGCTGTTGAACTCGGTGTCACCATACTGAGGCTGGATACCGCGGATGTCATAGGTTTCAGGGATGTTCTTTAGGTAGCCATGGAAACAAGTTGCTCCATAGAGGGGCCAGGAAGATATAGCGGCTACGAATAGGTAAGAAAATAAGTAAATTTCCAGAGTTTGAGAGGAGAAGACCATATAAAAGAGACGTGGACCCAGCCTGAAGCAGTGTAATACAATGTACCGAGAAGACAGAAAAATAAGTAATACGCCTCCCTTCGATTCTTAGTTAAAGCCAACTAAGTTCGAGTAAATTTTCCACTTCTTTAAGAACGACCTCGGCTCATGTTGCTGTCAATGAACTGGTGGTCACTCAACCGCATTTAACAGACAATACGTCACTAAGAAGGAGATGCTGGAGGTGGGATTCTGACAGGTTGCTTGTCACACTGTCGCTCAGTCGTGGTGTTTTCAGTGAGCTTGACTCCCCATCGGTATCTATGTGAAGTCCATACATCGGGCCGTCGTGGTCTGTTTTTAGCGTCAAGACAATCGCACGTACAATCCATGGTAAAACCAGCGGAATTTGTCATTGGTAACTTTTGACTACCCCTCAAAACAGTCACAAAAACTTCTGAGCGTTTGGGAAAGAGCAGGAAGTGTTTGCGAGAGAAACAAAACGCTACAGTAGGTGGCAATTATACCACTGGCAATTCTTGTCACACGAGCTTAGCAGTATTAGGTAATTTGAGACATCAGCACCTGTTGGGTATGCGTTAAAACCGCCGAGCCAATGAAAACCAATTTTTGAAAGAAGGGCATCAGCAAATAATAATAAGCTAACCGATAACGCCTTTCCGAGCCTCGGGGATGGTAAACTCTGGTGCGGCAGCCATCGCGTCGGTGAGGTTCCTGATCCAGTCCTTTTTGCGGATTCCCAGACCACGTGGCATTAGGTCAACAGCTTCTTCCCTGTGGAACAGAGGATTGCGCAAAACTTTAAGTTGGGAAAAATACTGACCACTTGCAG